GATAGAGATTTTGTTTTGTTTTCTGACTATTTTTTTCATAGATGAAGAGAGTGGTTTTGTTTCTGACAACATGCAACAACAACAACAACAACAACAACAACAACAACAACAACAACAACAACTACAACAGCAACAACAACAACAGCAACAACAACAACAGCAACAACTACAACAACTAACTCCCCTAGAGGGTTGAGGCGAGGAGAACAGAATTCAGCAATGGACACAATGTCACAACGAAAGGTGTCCCGCTGTCACAAAAACAGGGGATGAGACTCCTTCACTAAAACGTGTCAAGATTTATGACTATGGTCTAAGCTCATGATTTAGTCTAGTCTTCTAATTCTATTGCTCTGTCTAGACAAGGTACCGTCCAGATCTGAATTGATCCCAAAACAACAACAACAACAACAACGTGGAGACCAGCTTGGAAATGCACTTTTAAAAATCATCTGTTCATTCATTCATTCATTAATTTATTCATTCATTTTAAATCTTTTTTTTATTTATTTATTTATTTATTATCTATTTATTTTCAGAGGCAAAAGAAACACGAATTACTAAAGCATGAATAAAACACACTGTACTCAACTGTGTTTGTCATGTGTAAAAGAAATAATTGCGATTCGTGCAATGTACACAGCCACGAAAGTGTTAATAGGTACGGTAGTTGTTTTAGTGTAACTTTAGCCTGACAGTGTTATTTCTGTGACCTTGACCCTTGGACAGAAAGTGAGCACCGTGTGTGACCTCCGTTGGCTGCAATAATCACTCTGCATCTTCGACCCATACAGTTTATGAGAGTGTTTATTTGTCGACCTGGTATCTGTACTCAGACTTGGCTGATGGCTGAAGCCAATTGATGAGCTGCCTCGGGATAGCGTCCAAAAGTTCTCAAATGGGGTTTAAATTAGGTCAACGAGCCGAATGAGGCAAAAGATTTAAGTTGATGAGGTGTTCCACGGGTAGTATGAGGTCTCACGCGTTGTCTTGCTGAAATTAATTTTTTTAGATGCGTCTAGAAAAAGGGTAGCACATAAGGCTGAAGATCTTGGTCAATGTAGCGTTGAGTGTTGACCCCATTTCCTAGTGCATGACCCACTTTCTAGAAGAACACTGGTCCAGTTCTTTGGTTTAGAGCGATGACTTCCCAACTCATGATGCTTGCCTCTCCTCATGGGTCTCTCTCCATAATGTTGGCATCAGTGTAGTACGCCAGGACTGTGCGCCACACACAGATGCGTCCACTTACCGGATCATCGCAGAATCTGTTGTTGTCGGTGAACAGCTCCCTTTTCCATGGTCTGTTCCTCCAGTTTATGTGAGTTTGTGCCCACAGTAGCCGGTCACAGCAGTGCTCAGGGGTCAGGACTGGCCTGCGACATGGCTGTCTGCACCAGAGGCCCGCGCATTGCCATCTTCGTCGCATAGTTCTGGTACTCACGGTCCGTCCCATTCGTCTTATGGTGTTCCTGGTGGTCTGGTATTGGTGCACCATAAGGCGATCCTGAGCAGCAGTTGTGGTCCTTATTCTTCCGGCTCGGGGGAGATCACTGGTCGCATTGATGGCGAGAAACCAGTGCTGTAGATTGTAGATGGCGCAGACATGCAAGCCTGTAACAGTTGCCACATGTTCAGCAGACTCGCCACCCTGTAGTCGCCCAATAGCCCTCTCATGATTTTTTTCTGACGAAAGTCTCAGCATCTTGATGCTTCTTACTTTTCCAACTGAATTCCATATTTCGAGGCTTCAATTCCGTAAGCCAGGCCAACATGACCTCATGAACATAACGCAAACTACTAATCATAGCATTGCATTGTTCGAATGAGGTCAATCTAGCAGGCTCCGACCATGCTTCAAAGGAACATGTAAACAGTACCCACCAATGGAAACTTTGGCCAGCGCTTTAGCCACGGTAAACATTTCGCGTTTCTTTTGCCTCTGAAAATATTTATTACTTTATGTAACTAATTTATATTTTGTGCACACACTTAAAAATGTACCCGACCTCACAATACGACGGTGCATTGGCGATAAACAAACGAATGGGTGTCGGTGTTTTGCGAGTGCTCTGCAGTGATTTGCTCTTCTTTCCTACTAAACATCTATTGCATGTTACCTCTCTTGTAACACTTCTGTCATTCGTAATCTTCGGCATTTATATTAAGACCTAATTGTGTTGCAAATGCCATAAAGCTTTTACTTACCAACCCCCTCCCCCCCCCTAAAAAAATCCCCATGT